TTCCGGAGAGTTAGGCAATCCTTGTAGTTTTCTGAAAGCACCTCAGGCACAATCAAAATCTACCTCAACAAGTCAAAAAAACGTCCCAAGAAAGTTATTCCCCTCTAAAATTTTTTCTTCGCCGCGTCCCGTTCTTCCAGCGCCCGGGTGATACCTGCCGCGCTCCAAGGCTGACGCCGCAATGCAGACGCTTTCTGGCGCAACGGATTCATGTCTAGCACTCTTATTAACAAAAACAGGGGTCGCAACTGGACCCCCTCGAGAGCTAGGGGGTCGCAAAAATCCCGAAAATGTTCGAACGTGACGGTTGACCCTGTATTGAACGGCGTGCGGTCGCGCTACGAATGTCTTTGTTGCGGCACCATGAAGCCGACGCCGCGGTGCAGGCCGCACCGCGACATTCGCCACGTTTCTACTGTATTTGATCAAGCTTCAGGTAGATAAGCCCGCGCTGATAATCACCGTAAAAACACCTCCACGGGGGTGCAAGTGCATTCGCGTAATCTGGAGGCAACCGTTAACCATTGCCATAGACGCTCATTCGATAGCTGACTACGAAAACGACATCAATGTCTAGCGTTGGCGCAATCTGGCGTCAGTTAGTGTCACCTAGTCGCGGCCCTTGTTTTCACCAAAATCGGTGTAAACTTTCAGGGGTTTTTGGTGCCCTGATTACGAATATGACATTCGTTCTTGGCATTAACGTTGTTCAATACATATTTCTTGGTTGTAAAAAGCCGTAGGACGGATGCAGAAATGTTGTACCCTAATAGCGCCAGCGAAGAGATGAATGAGCATTCGTAATCAGGGTCCTAAATAACCCCTATACTGAAGTTTACACCGATTTTGACGAAAACAAGGGTCATGACAAGGTGGCGCCAGCGCTGAAAATGAAAGTCATTTTCGTGATCAGGGCATCGACTTACCTCTATAGGCAAATTTGCGGTAGTTCCAGGGCGGTCGACAGAAGGCCGTATCGCGCGCAAGAAGTGAGGCCGCGCTGATGTGCGATGTAGGACGTACAATTTAAATTCCTGCTTGACTTTGACGCGAAGAGGCTTTACCGCTGGTGCTCCATCGCTTCGCTCTGGCCTTGTTTGCTGCCGACAGTCTCTTGTCGGCTTCCATTTTTTAAGCAGGTGTACAAATTACATGCACGAGGAGAAGTGTGTACGTGGCTATCAGCGCGAGCTAATCTCATCCGAAATTTGAGGAAGATGTCACTGACGCTGAGTGGGTGAGGTTACTAAAGGTCAACACGCGCGATGTCTCAAACAGGTCTACACGTCGCGGGTAATTGGTATTCATGAAACGCTTTTTTTCCAGAATGTAATCTTTATCGAAACAGGGTGCACCCCTATAATCTAAGCGACCCATGTTGAATAGGTTTTTCCTTGTTTTTAGTTATAATATTTTTGTGGTGCTTAACACGTTGACGACAACGCGAGTTTTGGCACTTTTGGCCACGTGGGACCACGGCGTTTTTGCGAGCGCCGCCGCCTCAGGTTGTTCAAGCAAATTTTGAGTGATAAAAACATAAATAATGATCAATACAAGGCCAGATCAATATATTGTAATGAGCACAACCTACTCGGAGGTACAGTAGCGGAATTTCTATTGAAAGACATGGAATAACAATGAAAAAGTGATATTCTTTAGAACAAGCTGCAATAAACTTCAAAGGCAATTTTGAGTTGATTATTTTAATCAAAACACATATATTGTCATCTCTAAGGTACCGTATCTACTTCTACTACTATTTAAACCTTCACATTCATAGGAAGAAAAAGTAAACGAAAAATTTATTAGGCTGAAGATTTCGTATGGTTCAGAAATCCTCCTCCAAATTGAAGCATACGTGACCATTCTATGGACCACTATGTTTTTAGCTAGGTCAAGGTCTCCTCCATTCAATAATTACAAGAAACTTCTAGAAGAACCAGGCGTGCGCGAAAAAAATTAGTGTAATGGGTGCGGGGGATATATCCCCCGCACGGTCCGACACGGCCTGCAATGCGCGGGATATATATCCCCCGCGTTGTCGTCAATGTGTTAAAATATAGAAAAATAGCATCAGTGTTCTGTACACGCCTTCAAATGTACTGCATGCTTTCGGGTGCGCCAGCATTATTCTTCAAAACATAAACGCAATCTTCAAGTCGAGTATGCCTACACTAACTAAGCGACTAGCGAAACCGTCATTTATGGACATATCTTTTATCACCCCACACAAGCTTGGCATCAATATCCGATCCCAGAGAGGTGGAATACTCGGTAGCAGAGGAAGATGTGCGGTCCTGGGTTTGATCGCCAGTGGCAGCGTCATTACACCACACTGACCACAGGCCTCCTTGCGGATTCCGCGTTGTTGCTGTTTTCTTGCGAGTGTTTCCTGTAAGGTTGGCGCCTAGAGCTGACATGCCGATGTGGAAATACATGACGTAAACGAGCTCAAGGCACAAATGTTCATGTTCAATGTTAAACACGTGGATTGGAAGAATTCCAGCTCAGCTCATGATTTTTTTCTAGTAACCTATTGGTGGCCGCACAAGCCAAGCTCTTCGTCACTCGCTCACCCGGGCAACAACAGGCTGACAGGTGGGTTTTTTTTCGGGACTTGGTTCTTTTTGGATTTTTGGTAGGAAGCTTTGCGCAACCTCCTGCCTCCACATAGATGGATTGCATTTCCGCATCCATATAGAGGAGAGGAGCAGGTGTTGCTGATGCATCAAGAACACCAGTGCGCGATCGCTCTGTAGAGAACTGGTCGCAGTGTGAACTGGAGCAGTTTTCTTCACCCTCTTTCCCAAGTGTTCTTTCTTTCCAGGTTCTCTGTTTGAGGTTTCGTAGCGCTGCGATTTTATTGCTGTTTTCATGTGGCTTGGTTCAGTCTGATTTGTGTCGAGACCAAGAGGGTCAATCGTTCGTTTGCATAACGTGGGTAAACAGCTCTATTCATCCCACCAAAATAATTCACCGCCTCAATTCATTCTGGCTGTGCCTTCAGAGAAGTGAATGCGCTGGCCAAAATCAACTCGAAACAAGGTTCTCCATAGGTGGACGACCATTATAAGGCCATCAGATTGCTGCTCTAGTGCAGTGGGAGGTGCGCTGCAATCCATTACCGACCCCTATCCTAGCAATGAACGGGCTCATTACGGCCCGCTTTCCAGCCTCCCCACCTAGCCGCCGATCCAATGGATGCTATAAATTTACCAGTTTAGCTGCGCACGCATTCGCGTGCATCACACGGGACTGCATTGGTTTGCAACAGGGCCATTGATATTTTTATAGCCTACGCAAATCCTCGGTGGCGCCCACCAATAGCATTTGACCCCATTCCTTCGCCAACCTTTATCCACTTTTCCCAGCCTCTGGGCTCCGTTTGAACCACCTGTAATGTCACGTGACAAACTCCGCCTACTTCGACGCATGCTCCACCCACCTCTAGTAGTTGATCTGCCTTCCGTTGACGGACTCAATCCACTATTTTCTCGGTCCTCAAGACTCTTCTTGGAGCCGAGTTAGAAAGTCTCAAGGATAACTCCGCCCCCTCTGGACCTGCCCCGCCCATCAATGGCAGTTGGGCTTCCACTCCTGCATCCACCTCTAAGCAACTTTTTTCCGGTCTTCAGACTTCTTTCTTGACAGCTGTGTTACAACTTGGGTAAGCTGCACGCCTTTGATGCCACCCCTCCACCAATAGCAGTTAACCTCCACTCCGTTGACAAACGCAAACAACGTCTTTCCCGGTCTCTTGGGACTTCTTGGAACCGACTAATAATTTTCTTGTAGCAAATTCCGCCTACTTTGGTCATGCCCCGCCCCACGACGACAGTTGACCTCCACTCCTCCGCCCACCTCTATCCCATTTTATCACCTTTCGGCTCCCTAAAACTTCTCCGACCCGAATTATGAGGGCTTGTAGAAAACGCTGTACACTTCAGAGCACGCTCCGCCCATAGTGGGCGGGCCTCCGCCAACGTCAGGCATACTGGGAACACCTTAGACATTGCTCCCCTACACTGACTTTCTCTTTGAACTATAGACTCACTCCAAACCGAGTTATGAATTTTTTTCATAAAGCACTGCTTGTTTGGAGAACGCCCCGCCCACCGGGGGTGGGGCTCCCTAATTCGATGTGACTTACCAATGCACACCTTTACCCACTTTTTGGCCCAGTTTCGAGGTCGTTTTTTCACTGAAATCGAAATCTTGGTCTTCAGTATACTTCATTTCGATGCACGCTCTTTCCGCGCACGCCACGCCCTCTGTGGGGGGGCTCCGCTTAGCTGATGTGTGTTTTGTATTCGTGAGACCTTGCCCACCCATCCCACACTTGACCCGGTCCCTCCAGGCGGATCCCGAGGAGCTAGGGAATTTCGTGACAGACACAGACACACACGACACACGACAGACGACAGACATAAGCGCATTTATATATAGTAGGAACATTCAACATGATTCTCTGCTAGCTTCAGTTTTTATCCGAATTTCGTGAATGTCTCAGGCTTCTTAGAAAGTTCCCTAAAAATTTCTCTAAAAATAACACAATACCTAAAATATTCTCATCTTCCTCCCAAAAGTCACAGGTAGGAAACTCTTGTTAAGCACTATCTAAAGAAGAGATGAAACTGCTTCTGGTCAAACGTGAAGTATGCTTTGATGACATTCACTCAATGACTTCTTCCCAATGCATAATGACGGTGAATTATGGCAAGCTCTCTCTATTTGCATGAGAATACACGTCGCTCAGTGCCACTCAACGGAAGCTTTAGAAAAGAGAAATTCCTTTCAGAAGATTCTTTCTCATTTGCGAAGCTTTACACCTACCCTTTTCTATCTCAAAATGGCAGTCCTCCAAAACTATAGCAATCGTGACTGTTTCGTGATCGTGTTGTTATGCAAACATAAGCGAAAACCATGAGAATTACCCTAACGAAATGCCAGGGTGTCGCCTGGCGACCGTCCCTTAGGAAATTCTTTCTCATCTTTTGCAGATGAAGTTTATCATAGTGTTTTCACTATTTCTGGCCGCAGAATGTTATCGACTTTCGGAGGACGAAAACCGTCACCTCAAGAAAACATGCGGTGTGCGCAGACTGGGTGAGTAGATTTTGTGGAATCGTCTCGGTTACAAGTTTCAGAAAGAAATTCTCCAATATTTTTTGGAGATTCCTGCTGTGCTATTACCTTTCCTAAACTTGAGCTTATGTGTGTTTGTAAGAAATCCATGAGCACGTTGAAGCAATAGTGTAGCGTAGGTTTGTAGGTGCTGTAGGAGGTGGGAGCCGAGCATGATGACGGTTGACAGGGAGGGGTAGCAGCAGAGTAGGACTAGCAAGACGGGCTCGAGGGATGGAAATCTGATCGAATCCGTTGCTCCGTTTAGCAATATAGAGTGTTGGTTCTCGATTTTAGAGCTGGCTCTCGATTTTGGTCTTTTTATAGTGCTACCCTTAGCATGGAGGAGAATTCCACGATAAAGATGAAAGTCGAAGAAGGGGATGTTCACCTAGTGGGGAAACAGGCGAATATCCTAAGTGTGCGGACCTACGCAGCATGGTCTTCCCCGCGAGCCAACTGGTGCGCTACTGAAGCGGTACGCCCCTCTTTTGTCTTCTCGTGTCTGAGTCTCTAGCCATCCAGAGAGAGCGTTAGCGCTCTAGAGGGCAGCAATATCAAATCAACGGGCAAGGAAGGGGTCAGATTTCTCAGGGATACTGAGCAATTTTTTTCAGTTCCTTTTCTTTCGTGCATCACTCATCAATATCTCTAACTTCATTTCCAATGAGCTGCCTTTTCATCGTAAAATCCGCCTCTAATCATAAGGAGTTTAGTCCACCAATTACTTTCATCAACATTATCATACCGTTCCACAGTTATCGTGACACTTCTTTGACGAGTTCAAGCCATGTCGCCAATATTTATCGCTACTATTATCGAGTCGTTTTCTTGAAATTAATCGGTCGACAGTAATCTTGTCGTATCGAATTTCTACGGAGAGGGAGGGGGGGGTGTTTCTTGTGGTTCAACTTCTAACAGGAGTGGGGAGAGCTGGCAACACTAGGGCACTCAGTAGTTCGACTTTTTTGAATTTGAAAAATTATTATTTGGTCATGAAAATTCAAAACCAACTTGATTGCTTTCATTATTGATAGTTTTTTCATCACTATTGGTTTAATCATGAAAAATGGATTTTCATGCGCGATGTTCAGGTAAATCGGCTCCGTTCAAGATTTTTGGAGGTCGTAAAGTAGCCCCTGGCAAGTATCCGTGGTTGGTTAAAATTTTCACTCAGAAGGATCTAGGCGGTACGTTTCTGCTGACGTTCTCAATGCTTAGCGCTCACCATTGTTTTGCAATGATTGAGAAATCATTAAAAATGTTACATAATGTTTGCAAGGCCCCTCCGTCTTTGTGCAGCTTTGCACTTACGGTAAAAACTTTTGCGGTGCTGATCGGTCACCTTCGACTATGCTTATGTGTTCATTTACATCTACAATATGGATGGGACGTAATAAAGTGTACATTTGAAAATCGACCTGCTCGTATGTTTGCGTGATCGCTATTTTCTGACAGGAGCAATTTTTCACCACATCAGATTTCCACCGTAATCCACGTTGGCACTTGAGCGGGCAGTTGCAGCTATTGGTGAAAGCATACCTTGAAGGATGGTCGACCAAGGTCAACTTTATTTGCCACAACTGTTCGCACGGGCAACTTACCGACTCGCCAACACTTTCGCTGCGGGACGTCTATTCGAACCGGAGAACCTCATTCAACCTAGAGCTATTAGGTTTGTTTCCAAAATACTGCTGCTGCTAGGTCTTCTCTTGAGTAGTATTGATCGGCTATGCGTGATCACAAAATCGCAAGACTCCACGAGAATCGCAGAATTACGGAGCTGCAGGATATTGAAGCACGACCGAAGCCTAGGAACTTGCGTCATTGAGAAAGTAATATTTCCTCGAAGAAGCTTTTATGATTTAAGTAACTTGAAAGCTGCTCCTGTACAACGACTAAAGCTATCACACGTAAAGGGTGGGAGGGTTTGTCATGGCTGACTAAGCGTACTCGGACACTCCCAAAATTGCGAGTCTCAAGTATGTCCTCGATACAGTGTAGCCACATGGCTTTTGCAGGCCTTATAAACCTGAACCAAAGGAAAATTGAAATCGTGGAGTCGACAAATTGGTTGCGTGACACACGCAGTTACAGGCGGATCCCACGAAAATGCACCACAGCATAACCAAGGAGTGTCCATCGATAACTACGTCCAGTAATTCTATTTGGAATAAAAATGTTTCCATCCAGCTGTCATCGGATACCACCATCTTTCTCCATTAGTAGGCAGATGGAATAGAAAGGATCTGTCATGTCACCCGTGACGAAAACGAGAACTGTTTACAGCTTGCTCGATGGATACCATCGATTTAAGCACGTCAGAATTGTTGAACACTCGGACGATAAATGAACCAAGAAACGTAGAACGAAGAAGAAGTAGAGTTGGGTACTGCACGCCTTATTCGTTACTTTCTTGATATCTCCAAGTGATGATCGAGCCTCATTCGTTTCTGCTTATTTTCCTCACGAGGTTTCGCTGCCTTTTCCGTGGGTACTTACATATGTATGAGTGAACATCAAAGGCACATCCTTTGATACACCTTCGTTAGGTAGGACAGTGCTGTCTGCGACTTTACCTTCATCAATGAGCGCTCTTGTACACTACCTTTGTACTGAGGTGTGACTTTTGAAGGATCTACAATGGGCGCGAAGATTATCGTACTCGAAAAGTGCACATTCGAAAGGCTGCCTGATTCTGAGTGAATATCGAGACCCTACACCTTCAAAAGTATTGCCCAATAGCGAACTTCTGCTATCGCACTATCATTCGTTTTTATTGTGGGTAAGAGGAGATCTCATGGCTTTCGATAGAAACCGAGCTGACGCACACGCCGTGTTTTGTTAATATTATTATTACTCGGATTTCGATTAGGACTTTACCAATTTCAGACATTTCATTTAATGACACATGCAGTGGGTCTTTAATTTCATCACGTCATGTGATAACGGCAGCACATTGCGTGACCAATTACGACCCAGAAAAGGTTACCATGGAATGTGAGGGGGAGCTAAATGGCTACCTGCCATCTCACATCCATCCGGAGCTTTTCCAAGTGTACGTTGGCACCTTATGCAGCCATCCAGAAAGATGTCAACGTCCACATCGTGTCAAGAAGGTTTGATTTCTGACTAATTCATTTGAGACACTTCAGCCTTTTGAGATTTATAACCATCTAGATTTTCGAGCTCGCCAAAGAGAACTCCGCCGTCATGAACCTTTGTGAGTGATCCCAAAAGTAACAATCCTGTGCACTTTAGATACACAAATCGAAATGTAATATTCAATGGGAATATTGTCTCGTCCCTCAAAATTGAAGAATCTTGAATCGCGTTTCCGTTTCTTCCCCTTGTCAGAGTTTACACTGGTCGCAAATGTAACTTGCGCTCCCAAAGTAGCTACGGGCTACGGCCGAACATTCCATTCTCATTGACATTTCAATGCCCCAGCGCCATCTACATGATTTGAGCTTTATGTCCTCCGCCTCAAGCTCCAGCGCCAAGATGAACATTTATACGCCGAGCAAAGCACTACGGTGCATTGCTCGGCGTGTATGTTGTAACACTACAACTCGAGAGTCCTAAAGGAACATTTGTTTATGATATTTTCAGCCCATAGAGGTGTGCTTCAACCCCCACACTACAGCGGCGGACCGTTTCCTCTATATAGTCGCTTCCACAATCCTGGTATTAGTACATAGTATCGATGATCACTCCCACCTCCTCTGCCATGAGAGCACACCACACAGGCAGAAGTGTCACATACGGTATCAGAGATGAATGCGAAAAGAATGCTTATGTATGGTATGCGAGTGCAACCCACATGTCTTAATGAAGATCACACCTGTGTATAATTGATGGTATAGATCTGCTCGCCTGTTTGGGATCGTGCACAGGAAGCAGTTCACTTCTTCCATCATGCAATTGTTTTATGTGTTGTCATAAACAGCCTCTTCAAGTAACAAAAATGCAGTTTCTAGAACAATTGTACCCTCGAAAAGCTGAACCGTCGCTCGATGGCAGGAGTGGAGCTAAATAGGCTCAAAAATGAGGTAGTTGGGGGGTGTGGCCGCACTCAAGGTTCTGGGACACTTCATCTGATTCTTTCACGTCTACAGTTTCAGTTTCACACACTTACAAACGTTAGTTTCTCATCCTCAGCAATGGCGACAGTTTTTCGTCGGGAATAAAAGTCTTCCGTGATCCTCTCTGAAGAAGAGCTCTGAACTCATTTTGGTGGAAGCAAAATTCCATCGAATTCTAAGCTGTGCCTCGAGAGTAAAAATTTTACACGAGCAAGAGCAAGGTTTCGAAGAAGGGACCTGTTATCGATTGCTCATAGTTTATTGTATCGCAAAATTTTCCTTTATCAGATATTTATTCACAAGAAGTGGAATCGATGCCTACAGTCGAACCTGTACAACAGTCAAACACAAATTCACGATTTTGTATTCTCGAGCTCAGGAAGAGCTGTACACGAGGTGGAAGGTCTTCCTATTTGTTTACCAGCTCGGAAATTTCGTTTAGCAAAACTTCTTCGTGGTGCCGGAGCTGGAAGAGACTGTGAGTTTCTTAGGAACTGTTTGACTTTCTGCATGCAGTTTTAGTCACGGGGGCAGTTCTCGGCATGGGTCGATTCGTCGCAAGCGATGAATGTAAGGTTTAGGATGCTATGCAAACGAACAATGCCGTTTCAACTTAGGAAAACTGTGAGTGTGAAAGACATTTAATGTGTGAAAAATGCGCATTGTTGCCCGTTCTTTTTTTTGCGAAAACCGTTCTCAGCAATGAGTTGTAGGGCATTTTTACTAGAGTATGCGATTTCTCGACGTGACATTCGCAGCGCTGCCTTTTGCCTATGTTACAATGCGATATCGATTATCTTATCGTGTATTGTGCCTGCGTCGATGCATGAGTGTGTCCACCAGACACGTTTTTTTACTGCAGCTGCCATCTGACTTCGCTAGATTCCATGGCAAAAAAAAACATGTTGAAATATTGAGTGTATTTTGACAACACCATTTTGACCACTCTTTTTCTCTGGCAGTACAGCCTATTCACTCAAAGCTTCAAGCGACTCTATATGATAAAATCACACTCATTGATGAGGGCTCTATCACCGAGAATGATGATGCATGATCAAGGATATTGCTCTTCTCTGTTTTGGTGTAGTTACGTTGAATCGACTTTTCTCTCGTTGCGTTTCAACTGAATGTGCTTTTTTTCTTTTCTTTCCGGGTTTTTCCTCCCTTCTTTCTTTCTTTTTCTTTCTTCTTGTCGCTTAAATGCGATAGCCAGCACATGCAAACGCTTCATTCATTTGCGCAAGAATGAATTTGGAAGAACGAATCTTTATTTAGCAGAATCTGACGATCCAGGACTGAAAGTTGCGCGTCTTTCACTCTACGGAGAAGAACCTAAACTTTTTACCATTGTAACATCATCAACAGATGCTTCTGCTTGCGGGGTAGGTGAGATTCATTGTACTCAGGGACGGAAGAAATGGTGATTTCTCTGAGAGCATAGGTGGTGCCTAATCTTCTATCAAACCGTTTCGAGGCACACCCTGAAATGAATCCAATTGCACTAGTTCCTCCGTGGATGGGAGGAGGTACTTCTAAAATTCGCAAAGGGTGCCTTGCTGGGGAAAGAGCATCAGGGAGTTGTGAGCGCGAATGACCGGGCAGTTGGGTTTGTCCTTTCCTCTCTTAAACTCTCTCGCCTACTCTCTCTCTCTCGCTGGCGCGCCGTATTTTTTCGTCCGTCCCAGGCAAAAACAAAAAAAAAAAAAAAAAAAAAAAAAAAAAATGTTGTACAGTCATTGACACTAGTTAATCATTGGCCAGGTAACAAAACCAATTATACGAAGTTATACGAAAAAGGGTAGATACCCTAATAAAGTAGTGCCGTTAGCGTACTAATGCCAGTTTCAGACCGTACGCTGTTTCCGAACAACGAATAGTTGAGGTTAGTGCCCACAATTTTATGGCAAAGTCCTTGACATACAAATGCTGTATGCAGCGTACATATTTGGAGAGCGTATTTTAAGCTCTATCACATTGTTCACCCCCTCCCGAATTAATTATTGTTAAAGCTACTGGCAAATTTTTTTTCAGCTCAGATAAGCCAAATCAACAAATTCGACTAGTCTACGTCTGCGGATTCAAGCCGGTCGAATTGCAGTAAAATTATTAGGAACACAAGTGAAGGTTGGGGATGCAAGAACTTGGCCAAAGAGCCATGTACAAAAGAATTCACAAGCTCTGTCGTGGCGAACTCATCTCCAGTATGACGTAGTAGGTCGCGGACGTGATCCTTGTCGGTTGCTCTGCCTGTAACGGAAGGTGATAGGGCATTAAGAAATGAGAAAGTCAAAAGGTACCCCTAGTATTGAACCCCTTGCACGGTGACTTCTTTGCGTAGAATTTCCTTAGTTAACAGGAATGGACCCAGCCTTTCTCACGACAAGCGCGGTCACACTTCGCACAACTGACTTTGCTCAAAGGAATCCTTCGCGGAAAATTCTTGCTTCCTTGATGATATGTGTCAGTTGTGATCACTGGAAACAGCACACAAAGTTTCACGCATGAAGATTCGGTTTCTGAAGAGAAACAAACGTACAAAAACTACACGTTATGGACAATCGAAGGTAATTCGGGCGGAGCCAAAGGCGAGGCATGGAAAGAAGTTGGCCTTTGGCCGGCTACGTATCAGGCGACGCAATGAAAGAATCGGGTTAAAGCGCGCGATTTCGGAGAGTAGAGACAAATCGATCGATAGAATAGGATGGAGTAGAAGTGTAAGATGTGAATGCAATAAAGCAGAAGGCCAGAAAGAGTTTCTAGTGAAGGCACTCCAAGAACCAAGTGGAAGCATCCCCGTCGCCAGCATTTGTGAAAGACGTCCGTGGGCACTTTGAACGCGTAGCAGCCCTTTCGATTTTTCGAATTTTTTCCAAAACAAAAGCAATATTTCTGTTCTTTTCATTCTTATCGTGGATAATGAGTCTCAAGCCAGTGATTTATGGCTGAAATAGAATCATGATTTTTCCGTGAAGGATTCCTTGAAGTTGGCCGAACTGCAATGCGCAGCCCTTCCTCATCTGGCAAATTAGCTAGATCTTTTCCACATTGAATGCCACTTCCTTAAGTATGTACCTTCACAACTTTCGGTATAAAATGTTTTGAAAACAGCACGAGCCGAAACTGTCCTCAACAGTTTACCTGGCTTCAGAAACCTGGAATTTTTAGATACTGGAACAACCGTGCTTGCATTTCATTGATGTTGAACTTTTCATGGATTCAACTTTACTAAAGATCACTTTAGCTACAATGTGTCCTTTTAGAATTGGAGGCTGAAAACTGACACTTCCATCAATTTCCAAGCAGACTAGTAATTTTTGGTGGGATTTGTGTTCAAGGCAGATGGTACACTGCTCTGAGCTTGCATCATCCGTACTGTCATACTAGTGGAGGTTGTCATTACTGTCATACTAGTGGGGTTGTCAAATTATCAACTGGCTAGTTGTTCAAGGATTCTATTCGCGATCTGCTTAGTAGAATAGGAAATCAGTATATCGTGGAATGGATATTCATATTCATGGAATACACCCTTTTCAAGAAAAGGCAAAAAACAAGAATCGAAATAATTACATTATTTATCATATTCTATTGTTAATACGGAGCGTGTTGCGTATAGAATCTTTGCACCCAGTTCTGTTAACTATTAGTCTTTGTGCATTCTTTTGGGCCGGGGTTCCGGAAATGTCCAGTTATGTAGCACTACAACTTTGCTCTCATTTCGTATACAAATGAAAACTAAGTTTTGCTTCGAAAATAGTTTGCTGATTTATCCGAAAGTAGAGAAAGAGCAGTGACGCAATAGAAAACTCCGACATAAGGTCACCCTTATAGCAATTTTTAAAGTCCCTTCTTGGGGGAGGACGACGACGGCAACGCGTCATCGTGAGGGCAAATGATCTCGTCAGCGCTTTCTGTTAGTAATCCCTATGTTATATGTATAATGTTTATATAAAGCGCTAACTTACGTGTGTCGGCTGGTACGTATGTCTGTGTATGTATGAGTGTATGTCTGTTTCTTGTCTGTCCCGCTCTTGGCAACATGACAATAAGTGATAATTTTTAAAGTACTACTGGAATAAACGAGCCGCAACAATCAAATCAATCAACCAAATAAATCAAACAAAATCTAGATAGCTCGCAGGGCTTGTCAATGTTTTGCAATGGCATGATTGTGATAACATCCCAACGGATATATAAACACGTACTAGCACCCCTTCGGTCATTCCACAAGGTGCTGCTGTGGCAGCTGTAGAGCAACGAAGGGAGGAGGGAGGCCAAGGACAAAAGGAGCGAAGCAAAGCTTCCGGAGGGAGGGGAGCTTCCGGCGGTTGCCGGGGGACCAATCTGGTATATGGATCAATACATAGTGCCGACTCGCATGTTTTAAAAGTGTCTCGAGGCCCTCGTGCCCATCCCCTGAACTCGCTACAATGTCTTTAGCTTGCAGATACCTTGCTCCACAAAGGTGCTACCACTGTTTCGCTATGACCGGCGCAGACGAGACGGGACACGCCACCGCCTCCGCTCTTCAAGTTAAGGGGACTTCATGACATCTTTCTCAGGGGGAACTCTGCTTCCCCGGTTCCGATTATAACTCTCCCTTGGGTGGAAAACATCGCTTTAAATTTTCCACTACAAAACATTAACTTTTAAACTTCAAAAGACATTAGCGGTGAGGAACCATAGAACGTGTTTATGATCTAGAAAAGACAGAGCATCCCCTTCCCTAAGGCCCAGCCCGCCGCGCTCCCATGAAGTTGGACTTTAACGGCAACACGACATTCCCACCCACGCCCGGGTCCATAGACATCCAACAATATTGCCCAATAAATGCTTAGAAGATCAATTCTAGTACACTCAAGCTCACTAGATCGCTCCAACTGCGCCTTTTATCAAGATGCCACCTCATTTCACTTTTCCATGTCCACTATTTATAGACAGGTGCGAGCAAATTGATTAACCTGGATTTGACACAACGAATTAGCATCTAATTGACGGGTCCAGGACAGCCAGCTGCGTTGCACGGCTTCTTGCACGTGACCCTTTAGCTCGCACCGCTGCACCATACAACTCTCCTTAAGTCTACTCACATTGTACTTTTCTGTCCATAAAATACTACGTCGATCCATCTTTTCACTTTACCCTGCGTGGGTGGTACATACGCATACCCGACCAGACCACTCGCGGTGGCGAGAGGACGTGAAACATGTTTTGCGAAGTAGCATCCACATTATCCTACCTGAGCAATTACTCAGCCCATTTACATGCTGCCTTCCGTGGCTGATACTTCAATTTTTCTGGAACCTATTTTTGAGCTCCCTTCTTAATCACTTCTGATTAGGATCTTTCAAACGCCCAACAACATAGAGAATCAACCAGCGGATAGGCGAGGGCACGCTCCCTCAATCCACGGTCTGCTTGTAATTCACTCTATCGAGAGGTTGGCTTTTTGAGTTGAAGATGACCCACACTCCAACTACCCCTCAAGTGGCAATCTCACTGCTGTACTCCAGCGCCACTAAGGGTGGATCTGGACAAACTTGTCGCCATTTGCTGGAGCATGTCCGGCTTGTTGTTGATGGAATGTAGACATCTACGTAGAGTTGTAAAGATTTTAAAATATTTAGTTTGTATCTTGTATGCTGTGAGCCCGAAACAGCTCCACACACGATCTGACATCATCATGTTCCTTCTGATCTCTCTGAGTTCCTTACAGTGATCATCCGGCATATGCATCAGGGTTTCTGGACTGGGTGAAGTGTACTAGCAAAATTTCCGAAAGGCAATAGCCTAGCATGAAGGATTCGGGAGTTCTGATAGCAAAAGCCGAACCTCCTCTGAGTCCGACGCTTCCGAGATATTGGAGGAGCACGAGAGTGACCATGCGCTGGGAACCGCCGCCTAGTAATACTAGAGTCACTGAAGAAGATCAACATCTACAGCGTAATGGCGACGCGTTCAATTTGAAAGTAAAGCAAGACAAAGTCTGCTTTTTTCCTGAGGTCGTTCGACCCCACCTTGCGGAGAATATTCATAAAAAATTGGAGACTCTCAGGCTAGCAGTTCTTTCACTTCCTCTGTGTGGCCCTATCCTCGTGCCAACAAGAGGCAACTCAGTCTGACCTCTAGCGCTCTTCCCCAGGAAGAAATTTTACGCTAAGTGACATGACCTCAAACTCGACTTCCGATCTTTCTTCGATCAATAGCTCCTGGAATTCTAGAGATAAGACAGCGACTAAATTTCCTTGTATAGGCAATACATTGTAGATGACAGAGGTGTATGTTTGGATGAGCAAAGACTCCACATAAAAAAGAAAAAAAAATTGAATTCAAAAATACCCAAAGTGATTCACTAATTATGGGACAACCTAATACTCTTGGAAAACACGGAAAATGACTAACAGTCTGTTAAAGAGCATCCTCAAAGAGCGAGAAATCACCATTCACTTGAAATG